TTAACACCGATTATTTCATCATATACTCAAATCTTACTAAGTAGGTAGCACCACATGGACTATGTAACAAAAACATTACATTTAACTTATCATACCACACAATCAACATAACATGCTTAATTATGCACATCAAGATTGACATTTTCCTAAATAAACTATCAAAATTAAATTCTATGCCCAGATCCTCCCAATTTCATCATAGAGAATTGAACACCAACCTTATTTCTTCTTAAAATACCTAGGATTTTAGACCCTTTCGGATTCGATACATAATAATGTAACTTAATCACACTTCAAATATGATATTTAAACTATAAACACTACATTTATTCACAATATTCATCCATTCACATTCAAACTTGGTTAAAATATAAAAACAAGGTAAATGCATCAAAAACTTACCCGATCGACCAAAATGATTGAGGTGCTTCCTAAAAAACAACGAAAATACGTTTTAGGCCAAATAAAAAACCTTTTCATTGGTGGAAAATTGATTTTGAAAATTATCGAATTGTCCCCAATTACTCTAAAAGGCTCCAAATAGTAGAGAAGTGATGGTGTTACCTTCTTCAACTTCTAATGAAGATAAAAAGATGTTGTCAATCGGAAAGGAAAGGTTAACACATACAAGACAATGTTCTCTTCTTTCTTCTTCCTTGCTTATTTACACCACCTTTTTCATCCTCCAATGAAGACAAACAATATTTTCAACCAAAAAGAGAAGAATATCATCAATGAATTAATTCTTTTCTCCTTCTTTTGTTTACTCTTAATTAAGATTTGAAGAGTATTTTGGACAAATCTATTAACTTTTATTCAAAATCATCATCATATTCCTTTAATTGAAATTTTAACTTACAATTTCAATGGGTGATTTTGTGTTTAGTTTAAGGTGGATTAAGGTTGGATTTTGAGGTGGTTTTTAGGGTTGTTTTAAGGTAGATTAAGGCTGGATAGTAGCGACTAGACAATGGATGTTTAGAGGGGCTATTGTGGTCGAGTCGTTACTAGATAGTTAAGTTGTTTCAAGGGGTGTTGTGGCCATAAATGAAGGTTGTTTTGGGTGTTGTTATGGCTCAACTACTCGTTGGACAATAAAGCTATTTGGAGGAGGTTGTTGGCTAGAATTAGGGGGTTATTTTGTAAAGGTTGCTAGAGGAGAGGGTTGGTCGTGATTTTGTGTAAAAGAGAGGGTGGTGGTTATGAAGGTTTTGTGTGGTTTTTAAGGAGAGTGATTGATTCTTTAGATTTCTTTGGGAAAGAAATGACAGCCCCCCCCTCCCTAAGAGAGAGAAGAAGAGAGGTTTTATAGTGAGATTGTTAGGATTTTGGGAAAAACCCCAATTTAACCTTCTATTTTTCCTTCTTTTTTTTTCCTCAATTCATAACCTTATCTCTTCATTTTCTCTTTAAACACACTTTCAATTGAGATTATTTTCAATTAAGTGTCTAATTAAATTTTTCTGGATCTTAATTCTCCATATTTTTTAATTAGATCCCAAATTCCAATTTTCCTATTTATCTCCTTCTTCTTTTTCCTTTCTTTTTTCTTTCTTTTTGTTAATTTTTTTAAACTCACAAAAAACGTGGGATTCCTAAACAAATCCTAGTCGAAAGATAAAAAATTGTAAAAAATAAAGAAGAGGGTCAAAAATTCGGTGACAACATTCATGACCAAAAATTTGCACAAAAATAACCAAAGCTATTTTTTTATTGATGAGTTTGAAATTGATTCTTTTAAAAAATAAGTATAATATTTCTAACTTCTATTCCCTTGTTTAAAAAAAAAATTTACCGAGACATCTTTCGCTAGGTTTAAAAATCACATTAGATAACAATTATACAATTTAATCAACCTTTAATTTTTAATTTATTTATTCTTTTAAAAAAAAATCAATTTGATTTGCCAAAATCGAGGAAAAGATTGCAAGCTTTAATTGCATCTCTGATACTCACTTTAACATCTTGCAAAATTTTATATCATTGAATTTTAAAGAAATTCAAGGTCCTAATACTAGGAGGATATTTTATTTATAAAAAAAAGAAAAAAAAATTGTAGCCACAATACTAAAGTACAAACTTATTCATTAAAAAAAAAAATTGTATTATATTAATCTTTCAATAATTTTTATTACAAATGTTTTGAAAATCATAAATAATTATAAGGATGTACATAATGATAAATACACCAAAAAATATTGTAAGTTTATATAAAAATAGGAATTGATTTTGGAGAATTATTAAAAAAAAAATTAAAAGTAGAAATCTATTAAAAACACAAAAAAAAAAAAAAAAAAAAAACACAAAAAAGGGCCAGGCTGCGTCAGACCTAGGAGGAGGTGGGATGCCTGGGATCAGCAAGCCTGGCCCATTAGCATATCTCTGGGCAGGAAACCTAGCCCAAACACTTCTAATTTTTTTTAAAAAAAAACAGGGTATACAATATTTTTTTGTACGATGTATAACTTTCAACGAATAAAGTCATTTTATTCATCATTTTTCACACAAAGTATCTCAAAATCATCCCGTAAACTCCTAAAGACCTAATTGCGACATCAAAACGCATTTTAATCAACTATAATTGTTTTTAAAAAAATCAAATTTAAAAAACTCATTTATTTTCTTAAGCTCTAATCTATTTTTACCTATCATGTTAGGAACCGTAAACATCATTAACAAACTTTCTTTTTCAAGATGAATTCATTAACACTAATTTTGGAGGTTTTTAGGAACAGAATAAAATTAAACGGAGTTTTCTCTCTCCTCTATCTCTTTTGCTACTTTTCTCTTTTCTTTCAATATTCAGGGACCGTATTACAAGACAAATGGAGTGTAAAAACCAATTGACACAAATTTTAAAAGCTAGGGACTAAAAAGAAGTACATTTCAAAATATCATTTAAATTATTTGAAAAAATGAAGCGTTTTAAACTTGACAAACAATGTAGAACAACACCCAATCCACATAGATGCCCTACTCTTTTAGCTTCTTTTGTTGATAATGTTCAAAAGATAACTATGGATGAACATTTCGCTGAAGGCATATACTAAATTGACCCGGACTTGGCGGTTCAAAAATTAGATGTTCGGGTCAAAAAATGTCACATCGAAACTGCACCAACCCAACATAAACTATGAATATATCTAAAGGAATGGACAGAAATACTTGGAAATCTGACCCGTTTGATAATCGTAATGCAAGTAGTAGGATGCCGATACTGCGTGCTACTCTCGTCATATAAAAGCCAGGTAAATTAACTTTGGATCCCTTGGCGTGGCATATGGGGCTTTTGAAGCTCAAAGAAATGGAGCCCCACAAAGTTCAAAAGAGAATAGAGTTCCATTTTGACTTTTTAGAGAAGGCCGAATTGCCATATAAAATACGAAAGGAAAACGTTCACGGGAATCCTTCTTTAACGTTATTGCAACATGTACGGATACCAATTAATCGGATCTTAATTTAAATCGGATCCGATTTTTATATAATTAAATGAGTATGCTATGTAATTTTTATAATCTATTTTATTATAATTTAGGTTCATTAATTTATTTATTAAATAAATTGACTATTCATATTTCTCGCTATAGTCCAATAATAATTCGATTTAAAATTAATACTAATATTATTTTTAATAATATAAATTTTTTAAAAAATATATAAAAAGTAAAAGGTTTAGATTTAGAATTTATTTACTTTAAATATTAAATAACATTTTGTACTTCTATCTTTTTTCTTTAGATTGATGGCCATTTTTTTCAAATAATAACATGATAAGGTTTTTTTTTTTTTCATTCTTTTTCAAGTCTCAAGACTCGATTAATTTTTTAAAAAAAAATCTATAAACATATGAAAAAAGATAATTACTCAGTTATTGATAGTATTATACCTGTGTTTTTAATTTATAAAGACTTAATTCAATCTAATTTTTTTCTTTATTTCAAACTTTTTATTTGTAAAACATTAATATTTTCTTTTGTACCAATTAAGTTGTGTTTAGAGTATGTATTTTTATTAATTTTCTTCAATTTTGTCATCCTTGCAAAATTTAAATTAATTTTGACTTTTAACATAAATTTCATAAGAATGATTTGATCTTGTTCTTTTTAATAATGAGATATATTTTTAATTTTTTTAATTGACATATTAAATACTATCATCACATATTTCCTTATTCATGCAAATATTAAAACTCATTTACATCCGAACTCGATTTTGAATATAGTCAACATTTTTTCTTTGAAAAGAACTGTATAATAAATTTGATAGATGTTTGAATTTGATGTGAACTTGTTAGGAATCAAATTCACATCGATAATTGCAAAATTCAAATTTGAATTTCTAAAAAATGATTATATTCAATTGAATCTCAAAACTATTATAATCTAATGTAAATCCAACCTGTTGTCAAACCAATTGTATCTAAATCTATTATAATCTAATTTAAAACCCACCGGTTGGCAGCCCTAGTTACATGCTTGAATCACTTTAATAATACGACATTAGCCTTTGATCAATTCAATCCACCTAAACAGATACTCATTTTATATGATGCAAACCATACAAATAGTGATTAGTAAATTCTTTAATTCTGAGAAATCTCCATTCTCTACAACGAAATTGGTAATATATATATATATAGAGAGAGAGAGAGAGAGAGAGCGGTAAATTGAAGTGTTATTTTTTTTATATATAAAAAAATAATAATAAAAGAAATATTTAAAATGGAAGGGGTTTTAACCGATGTCCATACCTACATCGAAAGAAAGTTCCCACTGGAGGGGCTGCAAATGGTTTGGAACATGGCCACGTTTTTACATTGATATCGTCTGTGCATTTTAGTCACACAAAGTATAACTCCAAAAAAGATCATTATAGTTGGCACCATTTATGCCCTCTTCTGGATTTGTCTCTTTTTACTTTGTTCCTCGTCCAGAGAAATCAATCACCACCCAAATGGATCAAAATTAACATTTTAACGCCAAGACAAACCCTTTCATGACTCATTCTTCTCTTCTTGATTCATACTCCCATTTCTTTATCACCTCCAGTAATATCTCATTCCAAGTATCTATTGGCCCTGGCAAGCACCAATGCACACAGTCATTTTGCACCCGCTCAGTTACACCATTAGCAAATGGAAATGGATGCATATATGGACCTGGATGACCATCTGCCCTCATTAATGATAATTTGGTGACATCAAGTGCCTCTAATCTGAACCTGTCAAGTTGTATAGAATTCATTTTTGCAGCTTCCACTTCTTCAACCTCAATTTGTCTCATCTCTGCATCCATTCCTTCAAGTGTTTTCTCTCCTTCCCTGTAAGGCTTGGTTTTTGGACAAGCACCAAACTTATCCCAATCACCTTCGAAATGGGCTGGTGAAAAAGTAGTGACAAATGCACCGATACCATTCCCATTAGCCCTTTTCCGGTCAATTAGAGCCTTAAGCGTGGTCTTTATAGCCTTCCTCAAGACATCATAAAATCCAATCTCCGTGTGATTAAGACCAGGACAGTAATGACAGCCCAGTACTTGCTCCCCTTCGTAATACACTGCTGGATGTAAGAACCAGTGCCCAATTGATAATACAACCATGTCAATTCCATTCATGTCAGCAGCCCATCTCTCATCAACGTGATCCAAATACAGCTGGTTATGATTGGGACCGGTATTGGATTTTTCCACACCTTTAACAAGAAACGGTGACCAGTAGACTGAGATGCTGAAATTGTGAGACCCAAAATGCCATCTACGAAACTTGTTTTCTCCACCATCTCGATAAACAAGATTAGGGGCAGAGACAGAGGATAGCATGCAAAGAAGTGACTCCAATTGGTTTCTAGCCATTGAGTCACCAACAAAAGCTAAATGTTTGTTTCTAAGGAGTTGGAGAAATGTGTTGGGTTCAAACCTTGGAAGCTTACATTGCTTTGGTTTCCATCTCCAGTAGAGATAACCCCTGTCCGGCCTGCCATGGGCAATGCAATTCTGGCCTTCCTTGATTGTACCACAAGTTGAACCGTTATACAAAGGACCCCTCTTATCAGGGACCCATTTTCCACTAGTGAAGTCACAAGAAGTTTCCTCTTCTGCAATAAAGAACAATATGGAAAAAAAAAAAAAAAAAAAAAACATTCTTAGTACCAAAAAGTAAGGGCAAGCTTTTTTACTTGAAGAAATACCACTAGTAATCTGTTTTTTTTTTTTTTTAAGTAAATGCATGTACCTAGTAAAGAAGGAGGAGGAGAAACAAAGGAGGAGGAGCTGAGAATGGGGGTGGTGGTGTGGTGGAGGGCGAAAGGGTAGAAATACACACGAAAGAGAACTAAAGGGATCATAGCATAAAAGGTCCATGGAATGAGCTTCTTGGCGAGAGAGGGATGGTGGCGGTGGTGGTCTTTGAATGGACTGCCCATTCTGAAGTGTAAGGGAAGAGATGGTTTGAGTTTGGTCAAGTGTAGAGAGAGGAGAGAGAAGAAGGAGAGGACGGTTGGGGTTAGAGAGGGAGGGAAAAAGACACAGACAATGGGGGGTCTGGTATGGTGCAGTCAAAGTCACATCGGGAATCCCATTTTCTTTTCTAGGATGCTGTGGTTTGGCCAACTAATTTTACGAAGCTGTAGAGCTCGTCTTCATCCCTGTGGGAAGTGAGAAAGTGTGGTACTTCGCTCTCATCACCTTTCTTTTTACTTTTCTTTATTATTATTAGTATCTGTTATTTTCATTTACTTTTATCCGTTCTTTGTCCGGTTTTATGACCTTCTGGACATTTACGGCTATTTATTTGGGAGTGAATTCTAAATTAGTCTATCTAGTTTTGAAAATTTAATTAATAATTTTTTATTTAAACAAAATTCTTATTTAGTCTTTATATTTTAAATTTTTTTGTAACATAATTATTTTTTAATTTATTTTGATTGTTTATTTTTAAAAATAGAAAAAAAGTTAAAAATATGAAAGAATTGATAAAAAAAATAATATTTTTAAACTAAAATAATTAAATTAAGTGTGTTAAAAATATTAAATAATGAATTTTTAAAAATAAAAAATTCATTCATTCATTTCTCAAAAATAAAAGAGCTAATTTATACTCATTTATTTGGTGATTGGTACACCCTGCCCTATGCTCTCGTCTTCTTGGAATGATATGTTAACTTGTGGGTTTTTTTAAGGGAAAAAAAAAAAAAAGTGGAGATTAAAACTTTTAAATTCAAATTTCCAAGTTCAAATTGAGATGTAATACTGATTTTTTTCTCTTTTTGGGTAAAGCACTACGAGCTTTAATAAATTACAGGATTAGTTAATGTACAATAAATAACTTCAATTTTTGCAATATATATACTGAATTACTTTATTTACTCAAATTTTCTGTTCAAAGAAGTTTGACATTTCACTATTGGTATAAAAATATTTTATTAATACAGATTTTGTCAAAGCAGCTGTCGCTGAAAACAAAAAAATGTTTTCCTTTTGAAACAAAACACGGTACCCTATGTTTTAATCCAAAAACACAACTTCTTATTGAGGAATTTTTTTTTATAATTAAAATAACAACTTTCTCTCTCTCTCTCTTTTTAACACATACTAAAAATATCAGTACTTTTTTTTATATTTTTTTCAAATCCTTTTATGTATATTATCGATTTTGTTGAAATAACATGTCTATATATATTATGATTCTATTTAATTTTTTTTCCTAATTTTTTGAAATGAAGAATTAATCTCATAAAAAAAATGACACATGTCATGTGAGTATAAAAATTATAAATTATTTAATATGAATGAAATATATTTTTTAAAATATTTCTAATATGTTTATTGGTTATTTTATATCTAAAAATCACAAAAACAAAACTTAACCAATCATTATTTAGCTGCTTTAAATTTTTATAAGTACAACACTATTGTCATTTATCAATTATTATTTTTATTTTATAATATAACCACAACACAATACATCAGTCATAACAAAACAATATAATAGTCACAACTGAATAATAGTAAATAGACTTTTATAATAATAATAACTAATCCGTTTATTTCCTCGAGGCTAAAAAAAATATTTAACGTAAAAAGAAAGTCAATGAATTTAAAGAAAAATAAAAAAATCAACTAGGCAAATGGCAATGACTATAAGGAAGCATATCGACCAAAAAAAAAAAATCTAACCTTTAACATTAGCCAGAGAGCTTTCATTTTTTTTTTCATGATAGGCTCCATTTTTATGCGAATGAGAGAATAATATATTGGGATACTTTTTTTATTATTATTAGTAGCCTCTTATTTAATAGTAAAATGTGTCTTGACCCCCCCAAAAAAAAAAAAAAAGTAATTTTATGATGGCTCGCATCACGTGCATATCGCAACTCTTTCAATCCGCGTCTGAGAACGATTTTTATTTATCAAGAAATCAAAGAAGAGTATGGATGATAAACTGATTTAATTAGGGAATGCCCTTTTTCTAAGAAATAGCTAAAGAATAACAGAAATGCAGAGTTCATGAATCAATCAATTCGTTACTTGGCAATTAGCACCAGCAGAAATAATTAATGGCCCCATGATGTTGAAGCATTTATAGCAGGTCCAAAACCAAAATGATGCGTATAAGAAAAAACGCATAGTACTGCTGCTTCCCCGCGTTACGATATTGACCCCTTACCTGAAAGTAAATCATGATCATCCTGTGATAGTGAGGTTCTAACCGAGGCTCGTCAATTGCTGGTTGAAAACTATTTTCAAACCCTATCTTCGGCCTGGGTTTGGCTCAGCGCCATTGAGAATTTCTGGACGGGTTTCCTCCAGGGTAAAGCCCTAAGAAAAAAAAAATTCACAATCATCCTGTGATTCTGAAATTCTGCATCCCAAAAAATAGAAACATATTAATTCAATTATGTCCCCATAATTTTCCAGTGACATGATACTGTCAGACGATTATGGTGGGCAAGTGGGAAGCAGTTTCATTTCAATTATGTCCTCAAGCAGCCCCCCAAACTTTCTGTTCAAGTGCTCTTTAGTATATTAGTTTTTTAGAACAGTCATAATTTTATAGCCCTGCCCAAAATTGTATTCAAGCATTTGGTGTTTGCTTCTTTGACTTTTTGTGTTCGGGAGCTGGTATGAACTTTGCCGTGCATTTTGTTAAGCAATACCACGACGCTTCGTCTGTATGATTAATTAGAGAGTGCCGAACAATGAGAATCTATTATTGTGGCTCACAAAAGTGGTGGAACTCCAATCATAGGTTGTCTTTAATTTGCAAGGCATTGTTTGTAGGGTCATCAATAATTTCAATTTGCCACGTTGACAAATATATTAAGAAGTGAAAAAAAATGTAATGATTTTCTCCAGCTAATAGGTACAAGGAAAATTCGATTGGCTAGCTTGGGCATACCTAATTCAGATCCAATCTAGACATCTTGGATGGTGTATGGTCGCATCCAGAGTAAGGACAGCAGATTTAATAGCTAATACATTGTAGAGATTGAACTAGCACGTGGTTCACCGACATAATATTAACTAGCAACGGGTGTTGTTAACCTTCATCTCCCACCCTTTAATTGAAGGGTTTTGTCTATATATGATTTCTTTTTCTTTTTTTTAATTATTTTGATCAAAACCTTATTTATTTATTTTTATTGATCGAGTTCTTTTATTTTGCTTTCATTCTTTAATTATAACACCATTAGTTTGAGGTGGTGTAAGGCTAACATGGTATATTCACTTTTTAAGATGTGACGTAGGTTATATACGAGATCATAGTAGAATAACTTAATTAAAACATAATGATTTTTCAATTAAAATAATTTAAGAAATACATAGATTAAATTATTATTATTATTATTTTATTTTTATGTTCTTGTGTGTTTTAAGATCATGTTTCGAATGTCATGAAATATATCATATGCGAAATCCCATCACAGTAAAACTTTTAAGAGTATTTTTTAAAATTTTATTATAATAATTTAAAATAATAAAATAAATACAAATAAATTTAGGATGCAATTAAAAAATAGAATGCAAATATGTTTATCAAAATTAATATAAAAAACAATAATAATACTGACTAATATCTAATTATCTATATCGAAGAAAAAATGTGGTGCAGTTTCAAGTTTTTTTGAAATAATAATTTTATTTTTCACTTTGAATTAATCAAATATTAAAAAATATATTTTTTTTTATGAAGGATTATACTCATTAACTAGAAGCATGCTACTTGTTGATATTGGACATTATCATATTGTTTTTAAAATAATTACATATTGGGTTTTTCTACATATTATTTTATTATTTTTAACTTATTATAACATTGAAAAAACTCTTCATAGTTCTATTGTGATAGATTCTCACATATTACAAATTTAGTGTATTTAGGATTAAGTTTTTAAATGATAATAACTTGCTCCTCGAATTGTTTTACTTAAAGTCTCATATTTTTTGAATTATTTTTATTGAATTTTTTTATTAGAGTCCCGTGTATGACATGTGTCACATATTCAGAAATGAATGTGCCACATCAACATTATATCAGTAGACAATTAACAATGTTATAATTAATGAAAGAAGTGAAAGCAAAATAAAAAATAAGGAGATTCAATAATAAAAAAAAGTAGAGTCTTAATCGAAACAATTCAAAAAATAAGGAAAATCTCATAAGAAATTTCTCTATCTTTTAATAAACATTCTAGTAAGCTTTGAATTACATAATAATAAGAATAGCATTACAAGTCTACCTCTAAATCTTTTTAATAGTTTTAATCTAATATCTATTAATAAAAATCTCATAAGACTAAGTTATCCTTTTAGGAATTCCTTAATTTGTAAATCCCTAAGACTTAGAAAAGTTAGTGAAGGCAAAATTCTTCAAATTGCGAGTTCAGTATCCTTTTGTATCCATGATTAAAAATAATAATAAAAAAATCCTTTTGTATGTAATGAAAATTAAAATTACGGGCAAGTTTAGACTGCTTGGTACCCATAAACTGTCGGATGCTAATTAAATTTTGGATTTAAATAAGATTATGGAAACGGCTCAATTTATATTTGATTACTGATCAATGCCTAATAGCAAATCCCACAAATATTAGTAGCAATCCATTTGCGCCATATATCATACGGGAGGAGATGATGAAAAGATGAAAACCATAAAAGAGTCTGCTGGAAGAAATATTTATAATGCTGGGCCATCAGAAGATCCTTTTCCGTGAAGGGGAAAAAAAAAATAGAGCAGGAAGAAAAATACAATAGTGAGTGAGGGAACGTGGCAAACCACGCCTTGGTGCTTGAATACACAAAGGAACATCATCATGCAGATGCAGGCCCAGACAGCAAAGGCAGAGTTGGTGAGTGCTGGCCAGCTAAGTCGTCATAGGGACCGCATCATAGGTAGGTACTTAATTACATGGCTCCAGTTTTC